GCACAGCCCTCGCCAACATACCCGTCTTCACACATTGAAAAGTTGTTTTGGAAGGGCAAAATGCCTCCCCCACATGCTTCTGGATTCGGGCATGCGAACACCTTAGCACTCTCTGTTCCATAAAAGCCTTCAAGCACGGTCAGTGTGTCAGGCAAGCACTTCATGGACCTCTTTGGACACACCTGGCATTCCGCCTCTTCCCCATGCTGAAGCTGGACGCGACCTGGTGGGCACTGGGCACATCCAGCGATGTAATGGCTTGCGGTCGAGGGTGGTGTGCCCCAGCCACGTCTGCAGGGAATTGACCCGGATGCTGCCTCCGCATTCGGGGAGATTGCTTCAAAGAGGCAGGATTCCACATTGTCACAGTCCACATCCTTCAGCACCAGCCCCTTCATCGCAACGAAGCGGTAGTGTTGTGCATCTGCAGTGAAGTGCACCCCTTCAACTTCAAGCGGGCCTTTCGTCTCCACGATGGTGCCCTTCGCGCTCACGTGCTGTCCAAAAGACACATCCTTCCAGGATACCGCCCATGCACGCAAAGAGGGAGGGAGAGAGAGAGAGAGATAGAGAGAGAGACAGAGGGAGAGGGAGAGAGAGATAGAGAGAGAGAGCGGGAGGGAGAGGGAGAGAGAGAGAGAGAGAGAGAGACAGAGAAAGAGAGAGAAAGAGAGAGAGAGAGAGAGAGCAAAATTGCAAGTGCAACGAACCCCTAGCAGATGTAACCCTCGACATTGATGATGAGATGGGCTGCCGGTCTCGAGTGGGAAGATGTGCGAAAATACACAGATTCAGCTGCGGCCTTGATCGTCAGCCGATCAGTTGACTGGGAGTCTATTGCAGCGGGACCAAAGGTCGGCTTTGCAAAGCTGCTGAGGTTCTCGAACCGGATGTGGGCACCATCGAAGGAACCTGCAGCGACCATACAAAGAGCTAGGAACACATGCTCGCACAGCCGCATCTGCAACCGCGCCTCCTCCGTGCAGGCTGCAAGCGCCGTGATTGTAGCTGCTTGTACGTCTAATCAAGACATCCCCCGTCACATTTGCAGGACCTATGGACACGAAAGCGCCACCTGTGTCCTCCGCCCAGCAGTCAATGAATCTTAGCTGTCCGTGACTTTCGATACCACCTGTGGCATGGACGCCTGCACCGCGCCAGCTCACGCAGCTCTTTGCTTCAAGCGAGGACCCATTTTCCACGTGTAGACCACCGTCGACAAGTAGAGCGCCGCCCTTAACCTGCAAGCTACCACAACCTTTGAAGCTCATGCTGGCACCGTTCTTCAGCGTGACATCGCCAGAGGCTTGCATACCTCTGTACTCGCAGTCCTGAAAAATAATGGCGGCATTTGACAGGATGAAATTCTTCTCAACAAACAAGCAGCTCTCAGACTTGCAGCCCCTGAAACGGATGTCACCAGAGTCGTCAACCTGCATAAATGCTGCTGTTACGCAGACTTCGAAAGCGACGTCACCCTCCAGTCGCACCTTTTCAAAATCCACGCGTGATTTCGGGGTAGCATTTATCGAAGCTTTGCTGCCGCTGACCGTGCAACTATAGGTTGCGTGGGCCGTTCGCTGCAGTGTGAGGCCTGTGATGTTTACATCTTGGAAATATCCACAACCTCCAAAATCAATGCCTCCTCGCAACCTCACATTCCGAAACCGCAGGGATGAGCCTCCTGAGAACTCAATTGATGCATTTGTGTGTCCAGTAATCACGCAACCTGAGGCTGTGCCATCGTCCGGCTCCCATGAGATACTTCCCCCAGTGATGATCACATCTCCCGTAAGGACAGTGCAGTGAAAAATGTCGACTTGTCCCTCCAGCCGCAGGCTGCTGGATGCCAAGACACGTGGCCACGAATACTCATCATACTCATCAACAGCATTGATTGCAGCACTGTGTGCATGAAACACACGGTCTGCGTCTGCATCCTCCACTCTAACTTCCTTCGAGATAAACACGTCCTTCAAGACGATGCTCTCGAGAATGTCAACTTTCCCCTTCAGCACCACGTTGGTGAACCCCACTTTGGACGAGCCTGACGAGACAGCGGCAGAACCAAACAGTGTCCCGCTTGTAGCCTCATTCACAGCATTGATTGTGGCGTGTTGCATAGTCATCACACAGCCTGCATCCAACGAGTTATCCGTTTCCAATGTGACTGCTCGAGTGTCAATGATGATCAGGTTCACCAGGACGACACACTGGAGGATGTCAACTGCCCCCTTCAGCGCCAAGTTGGCGGCGAATCCCACTTTGGACGAGCCCGACGAGACAGCAGTAGAGCCAAGCGATGCGCTTTCGCTAGAAGCCATACAGTTTATCTTCTGTCTCGCATCTTTTGCAAGTACAATGCTTGCCCCGGTGATGGTTAGGTCCTTGAGGAAGAAGCAATCAAAAATGTCCAGGGATCCTTCCAGTTCGACAGCCTTTAATGTCATATTGGCCAAATTTATGTGGTCTTCTTCGGAAGCAACTGCATCAGTGTTACGCATTAGAACACCCGACTTGTTTGGTGAACTCAACTCGATCTTACCAGAGGCGATGACAGCACGGCTGATTCCGATGAGAGCGTCACCGCTGCGGTTCTTCATGAAAAAAGCCGCCCCTGAAAAACGAGTCCCAATAAGGTTTGCTTCATGTTCCTCTAATAAAAATGTCCACGACATTCCAAGAAGAGTGCACCGGAGCTCGGTAGTCCTGTTGAGCACAACAGGAGCAAAACGTAGTTTAGGATCTCTTGTTTCGGTTTGGCCGCCACGGCTGCAAAAGCTCTCCCGTAGCTGCTCCCTTTTTTGCTTCCTGTTCTGCTGATGTGCTTGCTTGGCTTGCTGCAGTCGCTGCCGCAACTTCTGCCAGCTTCCCAAACGCCTGTTTCTTCTTCCCTGCCGACGCCTGCGCTGCTTCCACTGCTTCAGGTGGTCCTTAAGCTTCTGCCATCGCTGCCGCAACTTCTTCCATCTTTCCAAACGCCTTTTCCTTCTTCTCTGCCGACGCGCTTTCCTGCGCTGCTTCCGCTGCTTCCACTGGTCCTTAAGCTGCTGCCATCGCTGCCGCCACTTCTGCCAGCTCTTGCGAAACCAGCTGCCTTCCAAAGGCACCAAACTGCCAGAGCGCGGGCTGGATGTCCCCGGTCGCACCACACCGCTTGCGCTCACCTTGGCGATCCACATCCAGGAAGGGGCAGGGCAATCACTGACCACCACCAGTCACTACCACGAACCTGCCAAAAAGAAGAGTTAAACGTCTTGCAGGAACCTCCAGGTGAACGTGCTCCGGCTGCTCGCTGGTGACCAGGACGCAGCAAAAGGCGAAGATCAGTCCAAGCAGCATGTCCATCCCCTACTACCTTAACCCTAAAAGTGTTTGAAGTTGGTAGACATGTCCTTAGCTTCGTTGCCTTTAAAGTGGTGGGTGCGGGGCGGTCAGATCCGGTCTCGCCATCCCACACGAAACAGGAGAATCTTGCTTCTGAGAAGCTCTTCATGAGATCATGTGCACAGCATGCTGCGTCATCTGCATGGCTTGTGCTTCTAAAGATGTGGGCTGGTGTTGTACCTTCACGGACGCTTGATACAAAGTGACTGGAAGATGGCTCGCCACAAAAGGCAGACTCCTGTTCCGCTGTGGCGACTTCCTATCTTTGCAGAAACACCTGTTGAGGATGGAAACACATGCATGTGATGCTACCCTCGGTCTCTGTGAGAAGTGCAAATGGACCCGTGCTGCATCTAAACCGAGATGCCATCCAACACGCTGCTCTCTTTTCATGGAAAGATCCGCATCGCCCGATTGATGGCCAATGAGCCTCAGACGCATGACTCGACTGTTTACACCGAACCGGCTGCGCGACCACACAGCGCTTTCCCGGTGTTCGAGCCAACTGGCAAGAAGGACAGTTGCCTCCTCGATCGCCGCCACGGTCAGCCTGGCAAGAATTCTGTCCCTCAAAGTCCGCCCCAAGAGTTCGAGCACGCATTCCCGAAGCCACCTCTGTAGCAGTGCGAGTCCGCGCAGCCGCATCCACAAGTTGCACCTGAACCGAGCAGCAACTTGCCAACATGTAAATGCTTGCAAAGATTGGTGCTGAGGTGACGGCTGCGCAGTCTCCACACACAACCCGATGCCCACATGGTTCCAAGATGTATCTGTTCAACACGGTAGGGGCAGTGAAACATGCTGTCACATGCGTGATGCAGAAGTCAATCGAAGTACTCCGACAAAGAGGCCTGGAGGGCTTGTCGAGGCAGACGAAGCAGGGGGGAGCAAAGGAAGTGGCAGCTCCTTTGTCATCTTTGCCCTGCCAGCAGAGGTGACATGTCACCCCCATCTACTACACTATAAGAGTCGATCGGTCCTGCAATTTGTCAGCTTTTCCAGAATCCGCGCGATTCGGACGTTCGGCACCCTTGTAGTCCTTCTGCTTGGGATCCCGAGATCCTCGAGTGGTACCTGCGACCAAGACATCAGAGTACGCTGGTCTTCTGGCAGAAACTGCTGCGCGCTCCTTTCGAGCGCGAGGCAAATGGAAGGCGTTCCAAGGCTTTGCTCAAGACCTGCGAGGGCAAACCCGTTGCTGCCTCTAGGCACTGTTTTAGCTTTGTCATGCCATGACGTCCCATCGAAGCATCAGCCAACAAGGCCTTGCTTCCAACCGCTCGTCTGAAACTCCTGCAGCTGCGGAATCACAGCGCAGGCACCTTTCCCTGGCAAGGCAGGTCCTGACAACTCTGAGATTGGCAGTCGTGTTCCATAGATCGCGGGCGAGCAGAAGCAAAGGGACGGGCCTCAGGGCAATGAATACCTGCCTTCCGAAACTTGGGCCATGTCTTCTTCACTTCGAAAGCTGTGATCCTGACGACGTAATGGCTGCCAGCGATATGCAAACGAACGCCGCAGCCAGGATTGGGTTGGCGGTCGGGACCGTAGTGACCTGCCGGACGCAGGAGGACCCCTAGGCTCGAGACATCTCCACACCAGAAGCATCTGAACTCGAAACCCCATCCGCAATGTGCAGCCGAGAGTCCAAAATCGCAGGGGGGGAGAAGAGGGACCGGGTCAGGAAAAGCATGATGCTGCTCAACAGACCTTGTGGTAAAGCTTTGGACCAGCTTATTGTCTCTGCGAGCTGCTCGTTTCTAAGACTTCATACCCCACACAACTGCACTTGTTTCGGCGAATTTTTTGCTGCTGCGGTACTGACCAGCAAGCGTCCAGGCTGAACGATAAGACAACGAAAGCCAGAAAACATGACCTGAAAGCTGCAAAGGCATAGCAGGCCTCAGCAGCTGTCTGAGGCTTTGCTTCCAAGCGGCGTTTATCATGATGAAGCGTGGCATCGTGACCATGAACTCGAAGACACACAGTAACGGAGTGCACCTGATGTTGACATGCGCCGCGCAGTGACAATTGACATGGACGCTTCGACGATCATGCGTCTCTGCGACCCAAGGCTCGCAATCAGAATCCCCACCCAGGAAGGATGCACAATGCCGCTCCAAAGATATCCACCATTACCTGTTCAGCTCTGCAACGTTCTCCACACATTTCTCACGGCTCTGCTCTTCCTGTTTCAAAGCCAAGATGCCCTGCAGCGCGTCACTTTCAGCAGCCTCGCCCGGGCCCAGCGCCTGGCAGCAGCCAAAGCGGCCGTTTTGAGAATCTTCACTCAGCCAAAGCCCCCCCGGCCGTGTGCACCGCATATGTCAGGGATGACATAATCCAGGTGCAGTTGGCCACCCGCAGCCTCTAGCTATTTTATCGAGGTCGTCCGCGCTGCACATCACAACCATTACAGCCGATGCACTCGAGGCCACTGAGAGTGGTGAGATTCTCAAGCACCACTAGCTCCGGGGTCAGCTGGTCGAGTCCTGACCAAACGAACGTTCGAGACCATTCGAGCATGCTTCAGGCTTTGTCACTTTGCATGACAATGGTAAGCTGGGGTCCTATATATTCCGTTTCCTTGAAGTTTAGGTCGGCCTCCTGCAATGCGATGCAGTCCCAAGCAAGACGGGCCGTGGACCAGAGGTCGAAAGAGCACGGCAGTCCGGCTGAATCGGCATCAGGTTGCTCACTAGATGATAGAAGCTCTCGCCGCTGAACACGAAGAGCAACTGGCGCCAATGCAGGGGAAAATGCGACGGAGGCAAGACCCAGGAGAGGCCACTCTCTGAGGTCTGGGCGATAGCGGAGCAGCAAATGTATCTGAACAGCATTGACTCCACATCGTCCTCTCGGATTCTGACTGCTATAGAGCTGCGGCCATGGTACGTGCACAAACCTCCGAAGATCGGCTAGACATTGTCATGGTGCAAGCACCGCACGACCCAAGTGGAAATCCGCTCTGCTGAATCCAAAATGCTTTGCATGTGGTCTCTTCGCTGTATTGGAATCTAAGGCCTACATCGTCTACACTATCATGTTCCGTCTGAAAGTGGAGCAAGCATGCAGCGCTTCTTCCATGCGAGTGCGTTCTCCTTTGTCACTGCAGCACTGCAGAACCGGTGCCATTGTGCAAGCTACCTTGCAAAGTTGCCTTGAGCAGAAACCAAACCCAAAGGATTCCTCGATCTCCTTCCGGGTCCATTGGTGAATCTCCTGATCACGGGCACTGTGCTGCCCGTCGCTCAAACCCTTCTGAAGCGACACCGTTGAATCTCGCCCCTCCTGTGGAATGCACGTGTCACACCACTATTCGCCCAGTGAAACAAAGGAAACAGCCGTATCTAGTATACACCAATCATGAGTAATTAACTGATATCATACTCGCTGCAACCGGTGCATTCTCGGATTTGTCTCGGCAACAATCTAGCAAGGTTAGAGCATACAAGACACTGCAGAGATCGTCGCTTAACACCACGAAAGCAGCGTACCCGGGCCCACACCTCCTTCGGCATCATCTGCTTCGTCGACCACGGCATTTCCAGCACTGCTTCCTGAGCACCTCAGTGGAAGAAGGGATGGGCATGTAGCGTTTCTTCATGTTAGGGTTCATATCCCTAGACTTGCTGCAGCTATTTGAACGCCTTTCTCGAACTGCAGAAAGAGCTTTTTAGCGTTGGGAAGTGGGGGGTGGTAGAAACAAATTTGGGGCCCCTTGGGTACAATTATTGGATCCCCACTTTTTTAGCTGAAGCTCCCAGATCAGTCTCGTTGCAAAGGACAGTGTGAAGGATGATTGAATTTCTCGACGTTTGCATTCTGTCTTCTTGCCTTCCAAAAGCCACTGGCTTTTCGATTGCATCTCTGGATTCAAGCATCAATGAGAAGAACTCTTTAGCATTACGGGATCTGATCTCGAAAGGCCGGAATGTGTGAACAGCACGGGTGTAGATGTTCTTTTTGCGGTGTGAGCGCGCACAGGGGGCGGCCCGGGGGCCGCTATTGACAAGCCCCAACCCCCAAAAGGAGATGCTGCTAAACAAAAGAAATGGTTGGGAAAGCTCAAACCCTGAAGCAAATTGTTGGTTGACCCAAAGCCAGCAAAGAAGCTGCTATTGACAAACCCCAAACCCTAGAAGGAGATGTTGGTTGACCTTGGGAAACCGCAGACCCTAAACGAGATGTTGGTCGACCCAAAGCCAGCAAAGAAACTGCTATTGACAAACCCTAAACGGAGATGCTGAAACTCGAAGCAAAAGGAATGGTTGGGATGTAGGGCCAACACCGCCTCACCAAGACTGGAGTGCACTCCATGCACACGCTCACCCAAAATTCAACGCTTCGAGTGTGAAAGATTTGGAGATAACACATCTGTTTTGGAAAACGGACAAGTGTCTAGGCTCCTTTGTTGCCTGTAAGTTTGCCCGTAGGGTTCTCCCAAAAGCCCCGGGCCCCACCCCCGTCCCTGAGGGCACCCTTACAAGACCTCTTCGCCAGAGCTGCTGGCTCCCAGGCGGGGTGTCCCTGTTTAAGGTAGCCACCGGCTGAGGTTTTTTACACTCAGCCGTTCTGCTGCCTAAGTGGTGCCAGAGCTTCTGCCTGGAGGTCTATCCTCCCACCAACGAGGTAACCCCCTGGAGGGCCATCCCGGAAAGTGCGTTATCCTCAAAAAGAAGTAACTCCCCGCCTAGGCAAGCGGAGAGTGCGTTATCCTCTGTGGCAGGGCAAAGGGTTTGTTACCCTCCGGAGCATGCGGTTTCCAAAAGGCGTAAATCCACAGCTGCCGACGAGGACAACCTTTTGCAGTACGAGAAGCCTGCCCCCGAAAAAAAGTTGTTGTTGTTGTCGCAGTTTTCTGGTTCAGTCATACTTGGCCTCGTGATCCTAGCCTGCGTAGACCCCTGGTTTGTGCTCACGACTTAGAGTCATTCTTCCCGGATGGTCCACCAATCACGCAACAAGATGCAACAAGATCGCACCCTGCACTCACTCATCATAAGATGAAACGCTCTTTATGCTTACTGCAATTAGCCTGCTCTGGCTGAAGGCACTGTAGGCAATATCGAAGCAGGATCATGGCCTCCCGGCGGTTTCGTATCTTAATTACCTCCGACAGCGGATGGGATCGGAGACGGAGCATACCCTAGAAAGAGCGGAACCTTCGCTCACAAATGAGAAAGGCGAGAAAGGCTCGAGGGTTGGAGTTACTCCCCCTCCGCCACCAGCCAGGCGTAGACAATTAGATGACCAGTGTGGATATGCTCGCCCTGCAGTTAAAACCAAGAGTGGAGATGCTCCCTCTGGCTCGACAGCAATACCTTCCAAGCAAGACACGGAAGGAGATCAGAACTACTTGGAAGCTCTGGCTGTCCTTGATTGAGCGAGCAGGCTAGACCCCGTTTGCGGCGTTGATGGAGGACTGCGATGGGAACATAGCAGATCTGAGTCAACACCGAATCTCCGTGCCCGAAGTTGATTGAAGGCCGTGGGGAGGTCACAGCCCTGACTCCGGAGGTGGCATCAGCTTTGATGACCACCTTCCTCTACAGCCACAAAGCCCTCAACGGCGAGTCCCTGACACAAAGACTTGGCCAGCCTACAAAGTAAGAATGGGGATGGCTTCGGTTCGCGTACCAAGCCCAAAACCTCCTGAGTGCAGCTGTCAAGAACAAGGCTTTCACGGATGTCATATGGAATGTTTAGACGGACTGCCGGCCCAGCGGACGCCTCCAGCCGAATACCCCGGAACTCGCCGGAACTCGTTCGGTCGAGGGGAGGGGAGGGGTGTATTTGCACCGCCTCTCCAACCTCACAAGATTCGGGACGAGGCATGTGTTCGTCAAGCCATGTCTGGAGCTACAGTTCGACAATATGGGCAGCGTCAAGGCTGGCAAGCGCGCGAACCCGTGCGTATGGGCCTTTAAAGCAGTACAAATGACTGCAGTACGCATCAAAATCGCCACCAGGAGAGACGTAGAGCAAGCGAAATACCTGCGAAAGTGGGCCTTGAAGGCCACTCTTGCAGCTTTGCGGGCCATGAAGCTGGACTGGGCCCTGCCAAGGCATGAGCCAGAGAACTTAACGACGCAGGTGAGCGGAAATACTCCCCCGGATGTGCAGATGAGTGGAGTTACCCTTCAGCAAGTGCACCCAAGGCAACAGAGCCGGATGGCAAAATTCGAGAGTGGCTGACACGCTCAGGAGGCGACTGTGGTCTCTGTACGACTCCATCAGGGAACACGGACTTCTTCCCAGCCGTCTCCGCTCTGGAAAGGCAAGAAGAAAAGATCAGAGGGGAGGCAACACCTCCACTTCTCGGAGCAATCTAGAGGAAAGTCGAGGCGAGGGAGACTAGCACCATGATGGTATAGGTCAGCACCAGAAAGGCTGTGGAGTCCGGAGTCACCTTCTACATCAGCAAAAACGGTGTTATCCTGACCCTGAACCCCCGTCCTGCTTGCCTGTGCGGTTTCGTTGATAAAGACGGGGGAGCACTCCAAGGGTAGCTCTCCAGTGTAAAATGTGCCCACACTTAATCCTGGCGGAGTTACTCCCTAGGATGGTTTTGGCTTTCTATCACATGAACATGGCCGAGGAGATACTCCCGGCAGTGATTTCTCTGCAATTTGTGATCGAGACTCGCTGACACCTTTTGCTTTGAATGCACAAACTTGGACATCTGTAGAGCTACTAGTCGTGTCAAGGGTAGGGACCCTGGCTCCACAGTGCAAGGTCAACGCGACGGTTCAGCATCTTCTGAGGCAGCTTAAGATGGCAGCCTGTAGAGGTGTGGCGCCACTAGTGATTCAGTGTGATCTGCAAGAGCTTCCGCTTATCAGAGGCACATGCCCGCTACAAAGC